CCGTTTTTTTTTATTTTACAACCCGTTATTTTATTCTACAAACGTTAATTTTTTTTACAACCCGTTATTTTATTCTACAAACCGTTTTTTTTATTTTACAACCCGTTTTTTTATTCTACAAACGTTAATTTTTTTTTACAACCCGTTATTTTATTCTACAACCCGTTATTTTATTCTACAAAGCGTTATTTTCATTCTAACAATGTTAATTTTATTTTACAAACCGTTATGTTATTCTACAAACCGTTATTTTACTTTACAAACCGTTATTTTATTCTACAATTCGTTATTTTATCCTACAAATGGTAATTTTTATCCTACAAATTTTATTCTGCAAACCGTAAAATTATTTACAAATTATTCACACAAGCTAAAATATTTGTTTAATAAAGGAACAATCTTGTTTTATACTGTGTAAACCAATATTTATTTAAATGAACACATAAAACATAATCACAACACATATATTTTGATCCGCAAAACGTGTCCCGTCCAATTTTTTCATCTCTTCATCAATAGCCTCACTTTGGGCCACTGTCAGCCAGTTTTTCCAGTCGCCTACTTGGCCTACGAAAAATTAAATGTTAAAAAGTCTAATTAGTTATGTGACACATATAGGCTTGATTTATGTAAACCAAAGGAGGCGAAGACAGTTCGTTCACGTGATACAGTTGTTCTCCGACGTCATTATTTATTATTTCTATAATTTAAAAAAAAAAGTATAATGCAATACTGTAAATTCCGTGTAAGTTTTTAAATTCGCTTATGAGGTAAGGAAGTGTGTGAGGAGCTTTTGAGGTGTGTGAGGAGGTGTGTAAGTTGATGCAGGGGCGTAGCGAGGGGGGGGGGGGGGGGCGGGGGGTGCGGACCGCACCGGGTGACACCATTTAGGGGGGTGACACCAAGGCAAAAAATAGCAAAATATATAGAGAAAAACTCGACGGGGGGGGTGCAAATCGAAAACTCGAGGGGGGAGTGCAAATCGAAAGTTTGAGGGGGGGGGGTGCAAATCGAAAATTTGAAAGTTTGTCCCTGGGAAGGGTCTCTATACCTCTGGGGGGGGGTGACACCATTAAGTGCCGCACCGGGTGACACCCGACCTCGCTACGCTACGCCACTGAGTTGATGTGTGGGGTGGGGTGTGAGGAGGTGTGTGGGGGTGTGTGTGTGGAGGTGTGTGAGATGTGTTTGGAGGTGTGTGAGGACGTGTGTGAGAGGAGGTGTGTGGGGGTGTGTGTGGAGGTGTGTGGTGTGATGTTTGGGGTGGTGGAAAACAAAATGACAATCACTCACAACCTCGGAGGCGTTGTTACTTGCAGTGTTTCTTTCAGGCATCTCTTCGGGGAGGGCACGTCTACCACTTCCCCTCACCCTTCACACACGAACGAAATTGAATTTATTTGGAAATGTGTACTTTTACCTGTGTGCGTCCCCCCTCCCCACCCTTGAAAATTTTTGTCCCCCCCCCCCCCCCACCCCCCCCCGAAAGTTTGGTGCCCCCTCGTCCTAACCCGTCCACCCTGAAACTGTCAAGTGCCCCCCCCCCCCTCCACTACGTCTCGATGAAAAAAAATAATTCTAAAACACTAGTTACTTGCCTTTCCTTAACAGTTTGCCTGAGATGGGGTTTCTGGTCTCATAGATTTTCTTCATAGAGTCAAAGCCCGCAGCTTTGGCGATTTCCTCAACAAGGTCGTCGTCGAGAGATAACTCTAAAAACGCAGCCATCCTTCTTATCTCCCTTGGTAAGTCCTGCATTGTAAAAAATAATTTTATATTAATTCATTTATTTCTTTTATTTCTTTTATTTCTTATAAATAAGATATAAAAACATTTTATTCTATCATGCAATTTTATAATTAAAAAGGATATACACTACGCCTCTGGTTAAAATCAGGTCCAGAATTAAAACTAGATTTGCGGGTATCTTATTAGTTCCGTGGATCAGCGGTGAACTCAGCAAGTAGTCTACGCCAGAGAACCACCTACGATACAGAATCAATGATTGAATCTACGATTTTGGATTTAGCTTGACGTACCTCTTTCATGTCTTCGTAGCGAACGACCAGAATGGGCGGATTAGGATTATCTGTGAGGTCTTGATCCCATTCTAGGTAATAGTCAAAGTAAGATCCATATTCCACTGTGGATAAACATGGATTTTAAGAAAATGATTGTGTTACCCACACCTGTAATCAAATAGTCACCTGGTCTGCTCAGGTAAAAAATGATTGTGTTACCCACACCTGTAATCAAACTGTCACCTGGTCTGCTCAGGTAAAAAATGATTGTGTTACCCACACCTGTAGTCAAACCATTACCTGTACCGTCCAGGTACATCTGGAACCAGCTCTTGAAAGTGCCGTTGTAGCCGTGCGACATCTGGGTGGTCAGCTCGTGATGGTAGAAGGACACGGCCGTGTCTTTGGGGTTCCGGACTGTCAGGATCGATTTGATTTTCTTCTCGGCTACCTGTCAAATAGAACACACACCTGTCAAATAGATCACAAACCTGTCAAATAGAACACACACCTGTCAAATAGAATCACACACATGTCAAATAGAACACACACACACCTGTCAAAAACAACACACACACACACACACACACGCACACCTGTCATGGAAAATGTGTTGGCATAGTTTATCTCTTTCGTGTTGGATGAAGTAATGTTATTTTAAATATAAAATTCATACTAAGCCTTTGTTTTAATGATATTTACATACATGATGGGCTTTTAAATTAATTATATATATATATATATATATATATATATATATATATATATATATATATATATATATATATATATATATATATATATATATAGATATATATATATATATATATATATATATATATATATATATATATATATATATATTGTTACGATCCCATGAGGGGGATCTTACCTTTTTTGGACATGGTTGAACGTGGGTTAATCAGGGTGTCACCTAGAGATTTATGGATGGGGAGAACTCTCGACGTGAACCCCCTTTCTCGTGGTCGGGCTAGCCCGTAATGAGAGATGCCACGGACTGGTGCAGGTCGTGAAAGAGACCAAGGGTGGGATGTTATTGTTGATGCTAGCGGGTTACACCACCCCCCCCCCCTTCTCACCTGAATCGCCTGGCCTGGTAATAGGTATGTAAATGTAGGGAAAAGCCGTACGAGAGGTTAAGTCAGGACATAGACCCCTGCACCTCGACTGGACTATTTTAGGAGGGGTAGACGGCAGACTGCGAGGTGTTACGACTGTGGGGGCGTATATAGTAGGGTAGGGTTGACAACAGACGTGACCCAGATTGAACAGGTCTAGATGAAGACAATCAACGAGGCACGTGTTAGAATTAGGTTACATTTACGGACGACGGCATCAATGAGGGTAGTATATTAGCAGGGTCTGACAATTTAATCAGGTACCCCAGACCTGTTGGCGACATTTAATTAGGTTAGGCTTGAGTGGGAAGTGTTGGTGCATAATTAGCCCCGCACCTGGACATTTGTGAGTCCGTTATTTAAGGAGGGGGGACACACTCAGGGGACACTAGAGTCAGAGCTCACGAGTCACACACGGACGGACTCGGATAGCTAGGTCTAGAGGAGACAGACATGGGGCGTCTCTGTGAGCTAGGGGACAGCCAAGAGATGCCTGTACTGTAGTAGACCTAGGCTAGTTAGACAGTTAGGGATAAGTAGGGTAGTCGTGCTAAGAACTTTAGTTGTTTGTAGCTATTTGTGTATATTTCTGATGGTTGTACTTCGGTGGCGGGTTAACTTTAAGTGTTGTAATTTGTGGAAATAAATATAGATTACTGAAGTTGGCTTTTATTTATTTTTATTTTTCTTCTTGTTTACGATTCCCTGACTAGTTCGAAAGGATTAGAGAAGGGAGTCGTAACAGAATTGGCGGCTTGCGTCCGGGATAGGACAGACAACGAGTTGAATAGTTTCTTTTGATGCCATTTTCAGTTGGGGGCTCACGAGCTTGTGTTTGAGTTTTAGGTTTTATGAGTAGTGAGAGTAAAGTTGTTCACGGAATCAGGAGAGTTTTCCAAACATTGAGTAAGTAGCGAGCTTATCACCTTTGTGTTGACACTAATTTATTCATTAGAGGTTGTTCTTTTTTTTTTTTTTTTGATTCAGTATAGCTGGAGGGATTAATGCCCAGTATACTCGAATATTTTTGTGTGATCCAGTGGAACTGGAGTGTTCGGGTTTATTCAGTACAGCTGGAGGGTCATTCCCAGGTACGTGAATAAATTCGTAATTTTTGTTTGGTTTGCTCAGTATAGCTGGAGGGTCAATTCCCAGTATACGTGAGTAAATCGTTTGTGATCCAGTGTAGCTGGATATCTTAGTTTGGTTGGCCCAGTATAGCTGGTGTCTACCTGTTTTAAGTGTCAAAGGTGATAGCCGTACTTGTAATGTTTAAGTTAAAGTTTTTGTGTGAGCCACATTTTCTTAGTTAACCGCCACCATTTAGCTGAATAAGTTCCGTAAGTGTGAATCATGGACGTAATGAGTTTTATTGAGTGTCCAACTCTAGAAGTTTTAGACAAGTTTTGTCGCTTAGAGTTGTTGCGTCTAGTTGAGCAACTAGGACTAGAGGTTGATGTCTCGGATAGAGATAGAGTTCTACAAGATCATATTGTTGTTGAGTTGGTAAATACAGGTAGATTAGAGGAGGAGTGTCTAGACTCTATAGAATACTACGAGATAGGACGTATTAGAGTAGAAGAAATTGAGAGAAAGTATCAAGTTAAGTTGTTAGAGATTGCAAGAGAACAAGAGGAGAAGTTATTAGAGATCAGGAGGGATATATTTATGTCAGAATCTTGTAAGGAAAATGATATTCAAAGTTTAGAGAAACTGAGAATACATGAGGTTAAACTATTAGAGATCAGGAGGGAACGGGATTTACTTAGGCTAGAGGAGGAGGCGCAGCTTAGTGGGTTGTTTGACTTTCCAGAATCTGTCTCTGTTTTCTCTCAGGCTAGTGTAGTAGTTTCCGAGGATCGGTATGGAAATGAAGATAGTTTGTTGTCTGTTAGAGTTGGTAGTGAGTTTTGTCAGTCTCAGACTAAGGCTGCCACTAGCTTTGGCTCAGTCCCTGAAGTCGACTCTAACCTAGCAGAACCAGCACAAACGTCAAAACGTACTGATAGCTTACGAGTTGAGAGTTGTGTGCCGACAAGTACTGAAGGCATTCAGCAAGTTATTGGTTTAGATAAAATCACGGCGACCACTCTGATGTTGACCAGTCATGAAAAGGGGCTGTCCATGTCAGAAACAGTGGATACAACCACCGTTGAAATCACGGTAACCACCGAGAGAGTGAATACCCATGAGAACAGGCTGTCCTCGTCTGAACCTGAACCAGTAACTGTATCTGATCAAGACCTTACTACTTGTCATCTTGAAGGTGTCATGACCTTAACTGGAGGTCATGTGAATGGTGACCTACATCTTCAGTTAGATGAGTCAACAAATCTTCTGCCAGCATCGGTAACGGACGCAATCGTTACCCATTGTCTTGGAGGTGAGCCTAACACGGGCTGTCCTCCCATTATCACAACAGTGTTTAATTTCTCCCCGACCAAGTACAGCAACCTGGAGGCCATGACCTCACCTGGAGGTCACGTGGATGGTGTTTTACATCCAGAGATCGAGGAGACAATGAATCTTTTGTCAGCGTCGGCGCTGATTTATTGTTCTTTGACCGACCCGGGGAAGACCGGTAACTGGACCTCAGCGGTTCACACTTCTATCGTCGACCGAGGGTGCGTACATGCGAGCGCATACCACCTCACTTTCACGGAGACGGGGCGTGTAATCGATCCCTCTTTGTGTGACTCGGTGTTAAGGATTAACATCCAGTCAAAACATGGCATTAGTGCAAGCAGTACTGTGAAACCACGCCTTATGGGCGAGTTGTTGTTGTTGTGGACGGACAATAACTCCGTCACTAAAATTGTGCTGCGCCGTTATAAAGTTCGGCTTAAGTTTTATGTTTACGGACTCATGATGACCCGCAAGACGGAAACATAATGACAATGTGTACCTTTGAGTTTCAAGCCTGTTATAGAACTGTTTCCTATATTGACTGTTTCATGTTTTCCCAAGATGCGAGTGTTCTAATCAAAATGAACTGTTTTCAGGCTTGCAGAGTATACCCTTTTACAGATGTCTTTTGTTTAAAAAAAATGGGTTTATGATTAATGGTATGAGGATATATCTGTAACAGGTTTTTTTGTGTGTTTAATGCTTTGACACAATTTGTTGACTGTTGACGAAAATATAATATAACGAAGACTGTTGGTTTCATCTTGAAGATTATTTACGACAGTGACATATTTGTGGCTTATTTGATGTTTTCTTAACTTTAATGTCAATTTTTGCAGTCATCAATTTGGGATTCTTAGTCAAACGTGTTATTGTGACTAAACCATTGATGTTACTTATCTTCTTAATAATGATGATGTTGGATTGATTTTGCCCAGACTTGGTTTGTTCTGGGACTTTTGAAATATTGTGTGATGTGGTGTGGTGATCAATGTGTTGTTCAATTAATTCACCAAATGGCGAATTAATTTCTTGAAGGGTGGAGGTGTTACGATCCCATGAGGGGGATCTTACCTTTTTTGGACATGGTTGAACGTGGGTTAATCAGGGTGTCACCTAGAGATTTATGGATGGGGAGAACTCTCGACGTGAACCCCCTTTCTCTTGGTCGGGCTAGCCCGTAATGAGAGATGCCACGGACTGGTGCAGGTCGTGAAAGAGACCAAGGGTGGGATGTTATTGTTGATGCTAGCGGGTTACCCCCCCCCCCCTTCTCACCTGAATCGCCTGGCCTGGTAATAGGTATGTAAATGTAGGGAAAAAGCCGTACGAGAGGTTAAGTCAGGACATAGACCCCTGCACCTCGACTGGACTATTTTAGGAGGGGTAGACGGCAGACTGCGAGGTGTTACGACTGTGGGGGCGTATATAGCAGGGTAGGGTTGACAACAGACGTGACCCAGATTGAACAGGTCTAGATGGAGACAATCAACGAGGCACGTGTTAGAATTAGGTTACATTTACGGACGACGGCATCAATGAGGGTAGTATATTAGCAGGGTCTGACAATTTAATCAGGTACCCCAGACCTGTTGGCGACATTTAATTAGGTTAGGCTTGAGTGGGACGTGTTGGTGCATAATTAGCCCCGCACCTGGACATTTGTGAGTCCGTTATTTAAGGAGGGGGAACACACTCAGGGGACACTAGAGTCAGAGCTCACGAGTCACACACGGACGGACTCGGATAGCTAGGTCTAGAGGAGACAGACATGGGGCGTCTCTGTGAGCTAGGGGACAGCCAAGAGATGCCTGTACTGTAGTAGACCTAGGCTAGTTAGACAGTTAGGGATAAGTAGGGTAGTCGTGCTAAGAACTTTAGTTGTTTGTAGCTATTTGTGTATATTTCTGATGGTTGTACTTCGGTGGCGGGTTAACTTTAAGTGTTGTAATTTGTGGAAATAAATATAGATTACTAAAGTTGGCTTTTATTTATTTTTATTTTTCTTCTTGTTTACGATTCCCTGACTAGTTCGAAAGGATTAGAGAAGGGAGTCGTAACAATATATATAACTCACTTGTTCCGGTAAGTAGTTGCGCCAGAGGTGAGTGTTTAAGACCCTTGGACTAGGCAGACGTTCAATGTATTCGGGTGTTGCCATCTCCAGAAACCCCGCCCCTTTCCCTATTTTCGATATGACCGGGCTTTTGTTTACAATCATGCTCAGGACCTCCCATGTCCAGTGGCAACCTGTGATTTTAATAAAACCAAATTTATAAAAAAACGTTATTATAATCAGATAATTTTTAAAAATGTGCTTTCTTTGAATGAGATCTCTTAAATGCATGGCTTCTTTCAAACTTTTTTTTCTCCGTTTGGGAGGGGGAATCACTTATAACTCAAGGGGGAGCACCGAAATTGGCAGTACGCGGGATGGGGGGGGGGGGGGGGCTATACCCCCATCCCTTTGAAGTGATGCTCCATGGGGAAGGAAAAAAATTAAAAGCTTAAAGCTTATTCTGAGCGGTATTACTGAATTATACTCAGTTAAAGTTGAGAAAAGAAACTGCTACTTGGCTTTACGGACTAACTGAAATTGTTTCTACATTAACAGCGCGTGACAACGAAATAATTGTAAGTGGACGGTGATTGAAAAAAGCGGGGGTGGGGGGGGGGGTCGGACTAGGTCCATAAACTTCCGCGATGACAAGAGGTGTGACAACCGGACTCGCCCCCCCCCCCTCCATACACCCCACCGTCAACAGCCTCTCATCTCACCTGTTTTGGGGTACCCGAGCAACAGAACGTCATCGTCCCTGAGCTGGATGTCCTTGACCCTTGTGTAGTTGGTCTCGGGCAAGCAAGGCAGCAGCTTGTCGTCCACCGCACACAGCTTCAGCTCCACGCCGTCCGCGTCAAACACGCTCTTGTTGCTAGGGAACACAAAGGTGTCCACGTTCATCACGTCTTTCTGTTAGAGCGAGTTTCATTGGATGAGATTCGGACATGAATCACAGCGAGCGAATTTCATTGGCTGAGATTGAGACGATAATTTGAGCATGCGAATTTCATTGGATGAGATTCGGACGATAATTTGAGCATGCGAATTTCATTGGATGAGATTCGGACATGAACCCACTGCGTGCGAATTTCATTGGCTGATATTTAGCTTGAAAATTTTATTGGATGATATTTGGACGACGATTTGAGCGTGCAAACTGTTTTAGCTTATAATTGAACATGAATCACAGCGTTCAAATTTGAGATTTGATATGAAATCAAATAATGATGTTGAGAAACCTTGATTGTACTTAATAAGTAATTTTCAATCAATTACATTTTTATTATAATAAACTGTGCATATAAATTCACTAGGGTTGGAGGTAATTTATCATTTTATTTTATTTTGATATGCAGGGAAGGAGAGCCAAAGGGTAATATACAGTATTGATAAGTTTTTATTTTAATGAAATTATTGTGTGAACTCGAGACTTTCGCGTTAATGAGTGTACGCTCTACCATCAGACTAAGCCGACCCTTTTATTATAGGTACACGGTTTAAGTGCATACTGTTGCAAATCTGCAATACTCGCTACTGATTAGTTATTTTAACATTTAAGAACATATAAAGAACATAAGTCATTTCTTTTTATATAGTAATATACATACATATGCCTAGATTACATACATGTTAGCTTCTGGCGAGCAGTAGACAATCTGGTGCTTGCACACACCTTGAGACCACGGTACCCTTTAAGGGGTCAATAGTAGTGTGCAGCTTGTGTTTTGTGTGCACGTTGTTCTAAAAGTCTTATACAAGAATATATGTGTTTTACAAGATGACTACGCGGCTATTGAAACCTGCGCGGTCGCGCAAAAACGCAACTTCGAGGGAACATAACTTAAGAGACACCAACTAACAACTTAAAGCATGCACTTAAGGGTTAAAATGTTCATTACTTACCAGAATCTTTTGCAAATGTAACATTTCATCTTCGCTAAGTTGAGACATTTTAAAAAACACAAAGAGATCGACAGTAGTTTTAGAATGGTGCCAATCCTAGCTGTGACAGAAGTTTTGAGTTAGAGGCTGTCCTTGCAGTAACACAATGCTTCAGGTGACAGCAGCCACAAGATGTTCTAACTTCTTTCTCAGCTTTGTCTAAAATACATTAAACTGTGTAGAAGAAAGTGCTTACATGTGAAAATTGTGGTTAATTTATACTTTAATTTGAAGTGATTGCTCATTGGTATAATTTCTATACTGAGTTTCTTGGTTTAGTTTTCTTTTTTTTTATCACACATTGGTCACATTCTCTTTGAAATGCATACTTTTATTTTAATAACCATTTCTGTTATGCCTTTCACACAGTGTTTCTTCCAGACTTTTTTCTCCGGCGGGGGGGGGGGGGGGGCACTTGACATTTTCGGGGGGGGGGGGGGGGGCGGTAGACTTTCTTCGGGGGGGGGGCAGACACTGTTAAAAGTATATATTTTCTATATAAATTATATAGATTTCACTTCGTTCGGGGGGGGGGGGGGGCGGTAAAAAAATTTCGGGGGGGGGGGGCAAAGCCCCCCCCGAAGAGATGCCTGGAAGAAACTCTGTTTTCACAACACATATTTAATCACTATCTAAACTCTAAACCTATAAACGTCAACTATATCAATAAAAACAGAAGTTTACATTTTATGAAACAAGTCTCGAAATCTAAAAACCAGCAACTGAACAATACCTAAAAACTAGGAACAGAACAATTCTGAGAAAGACAACATACCTTAAACGCATGTGTGCTAAGTCTACAATTCTCGATCTCAATTCCTTATCGTCAGCCGTCAAAATCCAACTGACACAAAAGCAGACGAAAGTATTGTCGTTTCGTTACATTAAAAAAAATTGTTACAGATCTTCACCTTTGTAGAGCATCAAATATCGCGGTCAGATTTTCAGTAGGTGGTCTACTTTTTTTTTTTTTACTAATCTCCTTTCTAAAATAAAATGGAATGGAATTTGTAATTATAAAACATGACTCCTATTGAAATAAATATTAATTATAGTATGTAATTAAAGTAGTTTTTAAAAGGAGAAAAAAAATTAATTAATTTACTTCGAGAAATATGTTAAAAATGCCGCCAGAATCTAGGTCAGGAAAAGTTACAGGCTTGCATTTATTTTTAAGTCACGTAACGACCTCGCGAGAAGGAAGGCGTGCGTTAATGTGATTGGTAAACAAAGGTCATCTGATAAGGACTTCAGGAGCACGGTGCACTCGATAAAACAATTGACGACACACACACACACACACACACTGATGACAGGAAATTTCCATTAATAGTTTATAGACATAGGTATATATAAAAATGCTGCGTCAACACAAAATACAACAATCTTTGAGTATATCTTTGTATGAGCACGTCATTTCTTAAATTCACATACCATAGATATTATTACCTCCCCTCTCCCCAACAGCGATACAAAAGTTCAGCACTGTTTCTCTCTGCCACCCCCCCCCCCCTCCAGCCCCACCACCTCATCGCCTCCTTTTTAAATGGGACACGTTACGTGCGTTTTGTGTTTGCTGTAACAATATAACTCCTCCCCCCCCCCCCCGTGTTTTCTTTCATTGACTCTATACAGGCTGCACACGTACCCCTTGACCTAGAGGTTGTTTTGCTATGTCATTGTACACATACACACACACACACACACATATATATATATATATATATATATATATATATATATATATATATATATATATATATATATATATATATATATATATATATATATATATATATATATATATATATATATGACAACTACCCTTCCCCATTACAATTACTTCATTAGATTTGTTGGATTGTGTGTAGACACTGTATGTACTTCTCACGGTAATGTTAAGTGAAATGTTGTTTTGTTGCTGCTGTAGCTGTTGTTTTCTTGTTTTTGGAGGTGGTGGTGTTGTAAACAAGCGGGTCTTAGAACCGTTAAAGGTGAAGCTTCACCCCCCCCCCCCCCACACACACACACACACACACATACACTAACTATGGTGTGTTGACATTATTGATTGATGTTTATATCCGGTTTTCTTCTATGATACAAAAGTATGTTTGTACCATGATAAGTACCATTTCAAACCAGGGGCTTAATGGGATAGATGAAGTAGAGTTCACCTGGATCTTTGACCCGTGTTAACGTAGAACGTGACCGTACGTATGTATTAAGTTTACCGTATCACACCAATCCTTATCCGACACCGGTTGTTTACCAAACGCATTCATGCATGTAATATTTCTTTCAACGTCATGACTTGCGGTCTGGTACAATTTTAGTTTTTGTTGGCCCAGATTCCATTTACATATATATCTACATTCAATATTATCTGATCCATTCGACTTTTTCCTTTTAACTAAAATTAACAAATGTGATGATTTGTATTAAGTGTTTCTATTTAAAGTCATATTTTTGAAAACTCTGACCATATTACTTTGAAATCGAGACGGAAGATATTTGAAAAAAAAAAAACGATTCACGTGACCTCTGACGCAGCAAAAGGCCTCAGCAAAGGTTAAAAACTATAAAAAAAAAAGTTTCGTTTAACGATACTATTAGCCGGAATGTAAATAACCGAGTCGTAGGTTTCACAAGTTAGATGAACTCAGTGGCGTAGCGAGGAGGGACGGGGGGTGCGGACCGCATCGGGTGACATTATTTAGGGGGGTTGCACACCAAGGCAAAAAATAGCAATATATATATATAGAAAAATGATAATTCCACTTATTTAAGTGATTAATTCGAGTGTTAAAAAGTCTTTTAAGAGCAAATTTGACAAATCCCGACAAGGGTGGAGGGGGGGGGGGGGGGTGCAAATCGAAAGTTTGAGGTGGGGGGGGGGCGTGCAAATCGAAAGTTTGAGGGTGGGCGCAATTCGAAAATTGAAAGTTTGTCCCTAGGCGCCGGGAAGGGTCGCTACGCCTCTGGGGGAGGGGGGGGTGACACCATTAAGTGCCCCACCGGGTGACACCCGACCTCGCTACGCCACTGAATGAACTTATTGTGTTTGTGTTAAGTCATCCGTGTAACTATGTTTGTATTCGTTAGCCATATTCTGTACCTATATTTTAGTTTAGAATTACAAGTATAAAAAAGCAAAATGTTTAATTCTAATCGGATAAAAAACATGATTTAATTTTTAAATTAGAATAAAGTCAGTGTAAATTCTATATTTCGAATAATTATTGATGCAGAAATGTATGTATTTAATTTAAATTTAAATATGATAAAGAGACAACAATCATAGAATCGCAAGATCAAATACAATGAAAATAAAATAAAATAAAATAAAGGCAAATCATTTCCAATAAATTAGTAAATTAACTAACAATATAAGATCGAAACAAATTTTCTCTACACAAATTAATATCGTGTCACAAAGTAAAGACTGTTTTTCGCCAGCCGTTTCACTAATACGTCGCCGTTGCAGTTCATCTTGCGCCCTGGTTGGTGACCTTTACTGGAAGGCCATAAGCCCGATTATGCCGTGTTAGCATCAGATGTTTGATTTTGGTCTTAGTTGCCCCCCCCCCCCCCAACTCTGGACTTAGCGGTTTAGCAGCCATGAGCTATAGCTATTCGACTACAACGACGTCCACCACAATAAAGAAACCAGTCAAATGTAAAAAGATTTCTATCCCTTTAAAAGACTTGACTGTGGCTGATTCAAGTAACATTAATAAAACCTTTAGTCTAGACAATGGCGGCGTAATTGGCTAGAGGCTGACCCATCTATAACGGTTTGACGCACCTAGCAGATGCAATATAACCCCCCCCCCCACGCCCACTAATTGTTCTCTAATAATAAGCTAATGTTAAGTTAACTACCCTTTCCATCATTTTTAACGTGTTTTTCTATAAGAACCATGCTATGTGAAATTAAAATGCGACACTGCCATAAAGATATTAAAGCTTCTCTCTGCCCCCCCCCCCCATCACCCCTCCCCCCATACACATATAATTTATATAGAAAATATATACTTTTAACAGTGTCCCGCCCCCCCCCCCAAAGAAAGTAAGAAAGTTTACCGCCCCCCCCCCCCCCGAAAATTTCAAGTGCCACCCCCCCCCCCCCCCGGAGAAAAAAGTCTGGAAGAAACACTGAAAGAGATTGGGGTCAGATGACCTTTCCTCATGACCCCGGGTCAGGTGACCCACCAGTATTAAACTATTAGTTCATTAGAGTTTAGAACCAGAAGACCTTCCTCATTAGAAAAACTTAACTACTACACAATATTTTTATTTTATTTTAGGCTATATAAAAACTAAAAAGCCAGGAATTGAACATACAACCAGTGGCGTAGGCAGGACTTTTATGGGTGAAGGCAGGACTTTTTTGTTGTGTCTTTCTAGAAATTACATATAATATATATATATATATATATATATATATATATATATATATATATATATATATATATATATATATATATTTATATATAGGCTACATTGACACATGTAACGATTTTAAGAGCGGTTGTGCTATCTTCATTATGTACTGATAAGCCCAAAGAGAACCCTTGAAATATATCTAATATTGTTACACTTTGTCTTAAATACTGTTATACCAGAATTAGTATTGTAACAATCCATTTGTACTTGTTAAAATTTGTTAACTGTTTTCGTATATGTTGCATGTAAACTTATTCCATCGCTGTTGAATACATTCTTTTGAAATATCATTTAGGGCCTAAGATTAGAGAAATGCACAATTTACTTCAAAAATTTAGAGGCAGTATCAAAAATGTTATTGCGATTTCAATATATAATTAGTATACTTTTTTATGTACATTTTTAAAAATCGTACTGGAAAATTTATTTTTATACGGCATAAAATTGATTAAAATTAAAAAATTAAGTCGACATGTATTAGCATAATCAAGTAATATTAGAGTTAATAAAATTAGTACAAAAACAATTTTTTTAAACATTATTCTAGTGTATATCTTTGATTCGAAAAAAGCGTCCCATCCAACTTTTTCATCTTCTCGTCCACAGCCTCGCTTTGGGCCACAGTCAGCCAGTTTTTCCAATCGCCTACTTGCCCTGTAGTAGACACAGACATAAACAATCATCAACCACCCCATTACTACACTAAACATGTTCGTCAACACTTGCACTGGCACTGGTCCATAGGATCAATCGCGTTAATAACTTTTACATCACTCATTGTCGCTACCCTTTTACTTATCATAAACCTAACTATCGTTAACCATATTAGCCATGCCGGTAAAATATGAACACAATATCATTGTTTTAATTATTGCACTTTGTTAAAACACCAATTCGTATCAATGCTATTTCTGCAATTGCAGTTTAATAATCCTAACCTTAACCTAATCCTTTCCATTAATTTATAAATTGTAAATCTGACCGCAAAAGCTATATTCATACAAATATTCTCAATCAGTAACTTCGAAGAAATATATCTAACCATTCGTTTGAAATAACGCAGTAACCATGGTTACCTTTCCGCAGTAGAATTTCCGATACCGACTTCGATTCCAGATATTTTTTCTTCATAGCCGTAAACCCTGAAGACGTGGCTATATCCTCCACAAGCTGGTCATCAAGGTCAAGGTCGAGGAACGTCGCCATTTTCTTTATGACTTTGGGTAGATCCTACACAATGATTGGTGACAAAGTTCATTTTCGGTGTAACAATGTAAGTGTATATCAAGTTCAATAAATTACAAGGCACAGGGTGATTCCTACCTCCTTCATATCCTCGTATGATACAACCAGTATGGGTTGGTCTGGGTTGGATTTGATCACGTGATCCCATGACAGGTAATAGTCGAAGTAGGATCCGTAGTCGACTGTGGATTGATTGGGATTTATTCGGTAGTAAGTGAATAAATAGAACAAATATACAGTCATATATATATGGATATATACATAATTCTAGTTGTAGATCAGTGTGTATTAATATGATCATAGAAAGGCAGTTATAAATAAAAATATGCGCCTTGGCCGTCCAAGTAGAGAACCAATCATGTAACTTACACTGGCCGTCCATGTAGAGAGGTAACCAGTCCTGGAACTTGCCTTGGCCGTCAATGAACCAGTCCTGGAACTTACCTTGGCCGTCCATATAGAAAGAGAAACAGTTTTGGAACTTACCTTGGCCGTCTATGAACCAGTCCAGGAACTTACCTTGGCCGTCCATGAACCTGTCCTGAAACTTATCTTGGCCGTCCATGTAGAGAGGGGAACCAGTATTGGAACTTACCTTGGCCGTCTATGAAGACAGGGAACCAATCCAGAAACTTACCTTGGCCGCCCATGAACCAGTCCAGTCCTGGAACTTACCTTGGCCGTCCATGTAGAGAGGGAACCAGTCCTGGAACTTACCTTGGCCGTCCATGTAGAGAGGGAACCAGTCCTGGAACTTACCTTGGCCGTCCATGTAGAGAGGGAACCAGTCCTGGAACTTACCTTGGCCGTCCATGTAGAGAGGGAACCAGTCCTGGAACTTGCCGTTGTAGTGGTAGATGATTGGTATGGAGACGTGATGGTGGTAGAAGGACACAGCCGTGTCTTTAGGGTTCCTGTAGGTCAGGATGATCTTTGTTTTCTTTTCTGACAACTGTGATTGGTTAAGATTGTTTTAAAATGTGTCCGAATTTGTATAGAAATGATTTTACAGCATAACATAAAAAATTATTTGTTGAATATTTGGATACTAAATTGCTGAATCTTTTTGTCAATTATCATCATTAATATAGTTATAGTAAACTACGGTATTTCTATATTGAAAGGATGGTATAAGTGTACTAAAACGTATGCTACAACATAATTTCGTACCAGATTAATATCACAGAGGAAGTATAAAATACAAAGAAGAAAGAGGACAATATTCCTTCAGATGCCAATAACACATAAATAGATGAGCTCTACCTCCTCTGCCCAACGGACAGCGAGGTTCGACAGCTTAACTTTTCCTAGACATTAGTTAAGAGAGATTAATTTGTGTTTGATTTGGCTACATGTTATACTAACTTAAAACTTCATTCTATTTATTGGACCACCTGATGTAGCAATACTATGCAACAACATTTTACTTGTTATATTTTGTAGTTAACCACGATGTTTTAAATCTCTGTATTTAATGAGAAACTAAGTCCCACACATCTTACCTGTTTGGGCAGGTAGTCCCACACATCTTACCTGTCTGGGCAGGTAGTCCCACACATCTTACCTGTCTGGGCAGGTAGTCCCACACATCTTACCAGTCTGGGCAGGTAGTCCCACACATCTTACCTGTCTGGGCAGGTAGTCCCACACATCTTACCAGTCTGGGCAGGTAGTCCCACACATCTTACCTGTCTGGGCAGGTAGTCCCACACATCTTACCTGTCTGGGCAGGTAGTCCCACACATCTTACCTGTCTGGGCAGGTAGTCCCACACATCTTACCAGTCTGGGCAGGTAGTCCCACACATCTGTCTGGGCAGGTAGTCCCACACATCTTACCTGTCTGGGCAGGTAGTCCCACACATCTTACCTGTCTGGGCAGGTAGCCCCACCACAGGTGTGAGTTCAACACCCTGGGGCTGGGCGTGTTCTCTAGAAGACTCAGGGGTACCTCCTCCAGAAACGACAACACTTTTCCAAACTTGGAGGTCTCCGCTCTTTTGTTGACCATCATGTTAAGGACCTCCCAGGTCCAGTGACATCCTTAAAGGTGAGACATGACATGTGTCATTAAGATGTCACCAGGATGTTACCCAAACTCCTCCACCCACAATCCCCAAGCAGTATGTTATAACGTAGCGCTCGTCAATACTTTACCAACAGTCACATTCCACATATTCTATACTCTACAGACTTAAAGAAAAGTTGAATTACCGCACTAAAGTTTACTATCTATGTTTATCAATTCATTACCCAGTCCCCAGACACCAGCAAAAAGAAAGATTTGGTTTGACGATCTATAACATAGAGCTGGGTAACCAAGGCAACACTTACTACGAGGTGATGACACGGACATGTTACCGAAAGTTATTTTTTTATCAGTAGCACCATCACCACCGTTACTACCATCACTATCACCACCGTCACTACCATTACCATCACCACAATTACAGTCACCACTATCACTACCATCACCACGACTATCAAACCACCACCTCATCATCACAACATCAACATCTTCATCACCATCAAATCATCACCACATCACCACCATCAACACAATATCAGCACCATCATCACCAACATCACCATCACAATCACCACTAGCTCTTCCCCATCCTCTCCCCAAGTCCTAGACCCTGACCCACATAGAACCTCATCACAAAATGTCAAAACCCTCCTTATATCACGTCATCTAAGAATACTCCCCACCCGAACCTCAAAGAATAACAACCTGTCTTGGGATAACCAATCAACATGACGTCATCCTGACGTAGAGTGACATCCCTGACCTTCCTGTAACTGTTCCCACCAAACGGGACGACGAGCTTGTCGTCTAGTGAAAAGAGCTTCAGTTCACAGCCCGCCGCGTCATACACAGACTGGTTGCTAGGGAAACCGTACGTTTTTCTGCTTAACACTTCCTGTTGGGCACACAAAAAATATCTACATCTACATCTACATCTACATCTACATCTGCATCTGCATCTGCATCTGCATCTGCATCTGCATCTGCATCTGCATCTGCATCTGCATCTGCATCTGCATCTGCATCTGCATCTGCATCTGCATCTGCATCTACATCTACATCTACATCTACATCTACATCTACATCTACATCTACATCTACATCTACATCTACATCTACATCTACATCTACATCTACATCTACATCTACATCTACATCTACATCTACATCTACATCTACATCTACATCTACATCTACATCTACATGTGCATCTGCGTCTGCGTCTGCGTCTGCGTCTGCGTCTACGTCTACATCTACATCCACAGCTACATCAACAGCTACATCTATACCTACACCTACATCTACATCTACATCCACAGCTACATCAACAGCTGCATCTATACCTACACCTACATCTACAGCTATATCTACAGTTACAGCTACAGCTACATCCAAATCCAAATCCAAATCCAAATCCAAATCCAAATCCACATCAACATCAACATCAACATCAACATCAACATCCACATCCAAATTCACATTCATATCCACATGCACATCTCATCAGCTTCTGCAACTGCATCGACATCTGCATCTATGCACCTGCATATACATTTAATTTTACATCTGCATCTACATCTTCATCTGCATTTGCATTAGCATCTGTATCTTATCTATATGAAGTTTGTCGAGCTAATTATTGTCTGCATGACAAACAAGTAACCACCGTCAAATTCTTTTAAAAGCTTTAAAATTTAACAAACGAGAAACATTACATATAATTGGCTGGGGTATCTTACAATACTTACATTGACCATATAATTGTCCTCACTCATGTTGACTTTGTAAGACTATAAAGGCTCAGCACACCTGTTACGTCAAACTATCAACTTTGTTCATCTGATTGGAAAATTGTTCCACGAAAATCTGTTACAAAACATTCGATTTTCAATCTACAAAGTCTAACCTAAATTAATGAGAAAAATATTTAAGAACAATGGAAATTCTAAGTGACAGCAATAATTAATAAGTTCACTTACTATACATGCGAACAATACAATTAATTAAATTAATATATTTATTAATACAATAGTAATTATATTAATATAGCAAATATGAATACAATTCAATTAACCAAAGCTAAAACAATATTTGACTGATGGTTAACTATAGTCCCAACACACTAGCACAAATTTAACGATGTTTTAGTTTTTTTATTCAATGTTTCTATAGCTCTGGCTGTCCGACTTTGTGAACCAACAAATGGTTTAAAAAAATAACTATATATAGATGTTGTTATCAAATTGGACCTGGAATTCGGTACGAAAAGTTTGCCAGACTGGTTGAGAGCCTTGACCTTTGTGACGAATGTAGGCCTCGGTGCGAGGGAAGCTTAAAGGGGTGGGGGTTGAGTGGGTATTAGGTTATTACTGTAGGTGCTACCAGATAAACTTTCGGTACGATGTTTGGAACAAGTTAAAAAATAAATAAATAAAGCAAACAGAAATGAGAACTCACTATAAAACAGTAAACACAGGTAAAGTTTACGAAGATGGGACAATTGAAGTAGAGTTCCCCTGTTTCTGTGACCTCGGCATATGATTAAACATAAGTTTTATAATTTTATCAAACGAGGTAGGTTCGTCCAAGCACCTCAAATCTCCTCTTTCCATTGTCTCTGTCAGACATCTCTTTGGGGGGGGGGGGGGTTTGCGGCACCCAACGTAATAAAATTTATATAGAAAATTTAGTTCGCTACCTCCCCTCCCCCCTCCCCTCGGAGAAAAAAGTCTGAAAGAAACACTGTCGCTCTGTTGCTTTATCTCCCCTCGATCCTCACTAGAAAAGCATTCGCATAAAACCATCTCAGTTTAAAATATATTGGAAACTTTTAACTCCCCACTGACAGAATCAACCATAACTAGACCTAGGGCGGGGGGGGGGGGGGGGTAGGGATAGGGAGGGGCTGGCGGCTGTGGTAAGAATAAAGGTGAATATGCATCGCCGTTATGAATAAAAAAACGCAGCAAAATCCAAATGATACCAATCTTTTGGGAGACGTTATACAATGTTCTACGCCAGGGGTCGGCAACCTGCGGCTAGCGAGCCGCATGCGGCTCTTTTGATATCAAGATGCGGCTCTCCAGTTCCTTGAACAAATACTAATAATCTTAATAAAAAAAAAGTATTTGAAATAAAAAAAATGTTAGTGGCTCTTTAAAACCAGGGAAATTTTGAAAATTGTAACTTTCGGCTCTTCCGCTTCAAAAGGTTGCCGACCCCTGTTCTACGCAGAACATGCAGCTGGCTACTCTTAGTATATAGATCAACAAGAATCTTTGGATAAAATAAATCATGCATGGTTAATGAAAATAATACAACCTAGGGCCCTACATGGATTTAAATCATCTACACACATGCAAACATCCACATTCTAATAATTAACACATTCAAAACTTGTTTTTTTATTATTATTATTTTGAATTTAATCCATTGTTACTTCATTTTTAGCACCTTGTTTTTAAATAAACAAGTTAATATAAAATAGTGTGAGCGTTAATCTGTACCAAATTTCAAGAAAAATGAGATGTATATTTGGTTTTTTTTTTTTTTTTAATTTTTTTTTTTTTTTTTTTTTAGGGTTTAGATATTTAATTTCACATAGAGTTACACTTTTTTGCGGTACGAGCCCTGCTTTTAATTACAACAGGCTTCTGACTTTTCAGAATAGCAAAGGTTCTCCTAACAGCTGGGTTAATCAAATCCTTTCTATAGTTGTTGGCTCGCAAGATGGCACGAATGGATGCGATTGTACGTCTGGGGCCCTTTTTAGCTCAACTCTAGTAAGACTTTTGCTGGGCTTGTTCTGGTCTTTATTTCTGCGAGTAACCAACACAACACCTTTGCCATCTTTAGTGGGTTCAACCCCAACTGTCTTGCGATGAATCAGACCATTGTAACGGAAAGAGTTGCGGCTAAGACTCATATTCTGTCTACTCTTCAACAAAGTAGAAGAGTTGTTCCTAAGGATCAACCAAGCAACATCAGCAGAGGCCATTTTTTTCCTTTCTTGCTGGACATGTATATTTTTTTTTTTTTTTTTTTTTTTAAGGAGTATCAAATTTTTATTTACATGCTAAATATGGATATTTTAACTAAGCACTGAGCCCCTTTTAACAAGAATGTTGAGTAGTATTTATCTGAACATTGACAAAACATTAAGAAACCAGAAGCTAGATCTCAACAGCAAGTCAAAGGTTACAAATGTGGGGCAAAACAATCCATATAAAAGTTACAACTGGGACATGTAAATCAACTATAAATACCCAATCCTATACATCATATAAAGAATCACTAGCTAGAAAATTCTAAGGCACATATATCTAACACTAAAGTGCTGAAATAAGAACATACTACCAAACTCCTGTGTGATCTTTGTGAAATTACCCATAGTGTAAAAAATTGTTGGTTAAAAAAAATGTCACAAAGATGGATTCTCATATGGATATTATACACCTTCAAAGGAATAGCTTTGTGCATAGAATTTGAATTTAAATAATACATAACATGCTAACACACTTACTGTTGAACAATTACCTACAACAATTTCACTTTACATTAACATCAGCATTTAATAATTGTGCTTTAATAACTAAGCTAAAAATTAAATTGTTTGAATGTGAATCATAACATTGAGCAAACTGCACAAGCCATCTGATTAACCAATAATGTGGAGATACAAAATAAACCATTTCTTTTAAACAGAATATGAAAATTAAGGAACAAAGTAAAAATTAAGAAAAAAAAATGGAATTTAAGAAAGGTATGTTGAAAACTGAAATCTAAAAAAACTAAAATCTTTCTGTTTGTAAAACATACTCATACTAGTTTCATGAACAATTCACTAGTAGGTTTGTTCTGTTCTATAATGTCTAAAGAAATGATGATCATCACAACATTTTGTACTATTACAAATGTGGCAGGAAACTGAATGATTATGAGCCACATTTATCTATATATATAATTCTCTTCTGGGAGCCGTTAGAAAACAAGCTGCAAGCGCGCCTTACAGTCCCCTCTCTTCCTCTCTATCGCTACCACCCCCACCCCCCACCCCCTCACATGATCTGGTGAGCTGTGGTCACGCTGTTTACATTTTACAATCATAGAGACGGGTTTGGTGACGGTTATTAGGGGCAGATAATTTAGTTTGAAACGATTTTAAACTTAGAGGAGGTAACTAAGAGGAGGCTGCTTTCACGTGGGGGTGGGGGGGGGGGGGAGGGGTTTAGTGTTTTTAAGCAAATATTTTCAGTGGCAGCATTGGTACTGTCGAATTCACAAATTATAAATTACTGAAAAGTAGAAAAAAAACAACTAAATAGCAGCGTATGATACGCTGCGGGTCGGCTCGTCCTTCTTAAAACACAAAGGACCAACATTGTCTCCTGTTTCCTGATTGTAAGCATTGTGAGATCCATCGCACATAGGGAACTTTTTTGATCTCCAGCAGCGGCAGTAGCAAGCATTGTCACCAACATCTTCCACGTTTACGGAGGTTACAACTTTATCTTTAGACTTGTCAATGCCAGGGTTGATCTTAGAGGGTGGCTTGTTAGATGAACGAAAACATTGCCATGCAACATACAGACCCAATGCAATGGTGGTAATTACTGGAATGTAGCTGACATCTCTACCTCCAATTTCCAAACCCATTTTACTTTGATTGAACTATTATAACCTCAGAAAAAGTAACTAGATTTACAGATTTAATGTAAATTCGGCTTTTATAAAACGTCTTTGACTTTTCTTTCAGTTATTCAATGTTTTGAAAAAAAAAATGATTGTTTGATGAGCAAATTGAGCCAAAATTGGACCGATCGCTTTTACTAACTTAAATCTCAATTTAAATCTCAAGAATATTTATCATAAAGCACGCGTTGTCCTTAATTTTGTTTAAATATAAATTTGAATTATAATATTATGTATAAAGCAAATTAAAAATAAATTTACAGATTTAATATACAAAATGTATTTTGTTCAAAATAAAAATACAATTATAATCATTTATTATACAAAAACATGCATAAACTTGGTTAAGCATTCACGGTTATTTATGCTAAGAGTTATTTTACTTTTAAAAACATATTTATGAATGGCTTCCCTTGATATGTCTCTTTCTGATAAATATGCATATACTAGCGTGCCCGTCTCCGCGCGTTGCCGAGGGGATAGAAGAAATTATGACGTAATACTTTAAGAGGGTTTCATCATTTCATCATTTTTGTTAGGGGTTTGATAAGGAAAGGGTTATGATAAAGATAGGCGTAAAAATGCAACTCCTTAATGAATCAAAACCACGGCAATTGAAAATGTCTCATAATTTTTGTTAGGTGCTGTTCTACCATGAAATTGTTAAATATAAAAAAATATAGATTGATCTTATAATATATTGTATTTTTTTTAACATTCTAATACTTTAAAAAATATTAAATACATCTAGCATGTTAAGTATACAAAGTTTAGAGTTTTAAACAACTGTTGGTCTAGTTGTATATTCATTTTCTTGTTGCAGTGAATGCATTGTTCCGGTTTTTTAAAAACAGTATATGTTTTTAATCAACCACAAAAATAGAAGAGTGTGTCGGCTACCATATCATGCAGTCCGTTTCTATGTTTACCAGTAATAAACAGGTAAATCAGTGTCATTGATTAATTCGTTGACACGATCGGGGATTGGTTTCTTTCTTTTTTTTTTTTTTAATGACTGTGTTTCGACGTTACGGAGATCTGCCGTGTGTAGATATTAGGTGCTACTAAAACTTCTATTGTAATGTTTTATTTTTTTTATATTCATTAATCAGACCACATGGGAAAATAGGATTCTACGCCAGCTTTGGACTTCAATGGAAAATAAAAGTCTACGTCTGCGTTGGTCGTTATTAATACGCTAGACGCCTGTGATGAGAATATCTATGCAAAACAATGTTTAATCAAAACATTTGGGTAAATAAAAATTGTAATCTATTGCCACCAACATTTAAAATAGTATGCTTTCCGATATAAAAAAAATTACAAAAATATCACTTCTTTACATAGCGTGTGATATATTAACTCAACACTAGTGTTAGTCGTCACAAGTTAGTCTAAGTATGTAAGAAAAATTAAAACAATTACACTGTCGCATGGCTTTATGCCTAGATAACACAAAATAACAAACAGACAAACCATCATTAACACATCTGCGTATAATAATATGTGAATGATTCTTTCGATATACCTAGATTGATTCAATACTACATACGAGCTGACCCGCGACGTAGCATACGCCGCCATCTAGTTGTTTTATTTTCTGCTTATCAGCAATTCATAATTTGCGAATTAAACACTACCCCCTCCCGCCATCCCTTTCCCACCCCCACCCCCCCCCCCCCCCCGCCCTCCCTTCCCGTCTTGTCCTTCATGGTCCCCATGAAGAGAATTATAAATACGAGCCGTTCCGCGGCGTATCATACGCCGCTATTTAGTTGTTTTATTTTCTACATTTCAGTAATTCATAATTTGTGAATTCGACAGTACCAATGCTGCCACTGAAAATATTTGCTTTAAAATACTATCAGTTGGTCGTTAAGGACGATAACCCCCCCCCCAACCCTCATTTCCCCCAACCCCTACACTAACCTCCCCCCTCCTTGAAAGCAGCCTCCTCTTAATTACCTCCCGTAAGTTTAAAATAGTTTCAAACTAAATTATCTGCCCCTAATAGGAGTCACTAAACCCGGCTCTATGATTGTAAACATTTAGCGTGAACCACATCTCACCAGATTATGTGGGGGTGGGGGAGGTTTATTTATGCCTATTGAAGAAGAGAGGGGACTGCAAGGCGCGCTAACAGCTTGTTTTCTAGCGTCTCCCAGAAGAGAATTATATATATAGATAGATACTTGTCTAAGCATAAAGAGATTATCACAACACATATATTTGATCCGCAAAACGTGTTCCATCCAACTTTTTCATCTCTTCATCAATGGCCTCACTTTGGGCCACAGTCAGCCAATTTTTCCAGTCGCCTACTTGACCTAGAAGATAATGGTAAGGGCTCGTCTTAGTTTAATTACCTCATTGTTTTATAAAAGACAACACAGTGCAAATTCAGAGGTATAGGCCTATCCACATATATATATATATATATATATATATATATATATATATATATATATATATATATATATATATATATATATATATAATATGTGTGTTTGTGTATGTGTGTGTGTGTGCGTTTTTGTGTGTATGTGGAGAGAGAAAAAGGCGAGGAAAGAGAGAGAAAATGTGAGCAGGAAAAAGAAATAAAAATAGAGTATTGGGAGACAGAAAGATTCCAAGAATCGTAATTAATGATTTTATGATATTCACCTTTCCTTAAATGCCTTAGACTGATATGATTTCTATCCACAAAGTCTTGTTTCATTGCGTCGAATTCTGCAACTCTAGCGATCCTATCAATATGGTTATCAGAAAGGGATAACCCCAGGTATTTAGCCAGCCTTCTAACCTCCCTTGGAAGGTCCTGTGATTTGGAACAAAACAAGAAAAAAACATTTAGCTTGTTTAGCGTATCTCTTATAATTTCCTAAAGCAATCGGTTATCTAATAGGACTGGTAAGTAGGTCACCAACCAGTTCTACGGCTCAATAAAACCTGCATGAGCCATATAACTGGTTGGTGATCTACTTAACAGCCCTATTGCGAAATGAATCTCAGTTGTAAGTAAATAAAGTCCCTATTTAGACCTAGCGATAAATTGACCAGATAAAGTACATTTCAATTGTTTAATGAACTCGGCACGTGAAGAGATAGTGTGGTCAGCATTATGCCCAACCCCCATTACTTTCTTTGAAGCCGGGTGAATTAGGACGTTAAACAGTCCGAACCGAAATCCAAACTCGAGGCCTTCAAGTTAGCAGCCCATCGCTCTACCATTCAACCACGCTGTCCCCTACCCCCTCAATAATGAGGACTCAAAAAGTCAGAGATAACTTAAATACAGTACAGATGTCCTGACAAATAGTGTTGAAACTTAGTGAAGCTTTTATTTTATTTTTAAATATGACACAAACAAATAAATTTATGTCAAAAATTATTTTACGTTAGTTATCTGATAAAAATCAGTAGTTCTAAACAGGGGTTCGATCAAACCCGAGGGGTTCGCTGATTTTGGTGGAGGCAGAGGCGTAGCGACCCTTCCCGGCGCCCGGGGACAAACTTTCGATTTGCACCCCTCCCCCTGAAATTTTAGATTTGCACCCCCACCCCCTCAAGATTTCGATTAGCACCCCCACCCTCAAACTTTCATTTTTATTTTTCCAACCCATTTTTGCGCCCGGGGACATATGTCACCCCCCCCCCCTCGCTACACTACTGGGTGGAGGTCAAGACAAACCGGACTTATATAATTCTCGATCGGTTTTGTCAGTTCAAACGATAAAACTAGTAATAATAAGAGTGAATACGCATATGAAACTGGTGGGGTCTGTACCTCAGAAAGGTTAAGAATCGCTGGGCTAAATACCATTCCGTACGTTTCTAGATAGTTATTGTTTAAATATCACTAACTTTTTTCATGTTTTCATAGTAAACCACAAGAACGGGCTGTCTTGGGTTAGCCTTGATTACTTGATCCCAGTCCAAGTAATAGTCAAAGTAAGATCCGTACTCCACTGTGAATAAAAATAGACTGGTTTATTGTCAGGTATGCTGAAAAAAAACAATTTAAAATATTTCAACCATAAGAAAATTCCATTTACATTAAAGTATAAAAATATGATGTCTGAAATTGTATCTTTAAAATGAAATTTGTAACAATATAAATATTTTATTTTCATCAGTTGAATGGTCATCTAATTTTAAATATCAAGTCAAGGACGGTGTTCTCATTTTTTTTTCTCTTATTGTTTTGGTTTCTTTATGTCTTTTATAGCAACAATCAAACAGCTTAACATAAGGTTCTCTAAAGGGAAGGAACTCTCGCTGCAACAGCATTTACTTGATCCCGCTATCCTGAGACCAAGTGATCATTGAATCGCGGATCTAATAGATCGGCGCATGTCGTAAAATAAATACAGGGGAAGCTACTAAGATAATGCTATAGTGCATGACTGGCAATATTACATCAAGAGTTAATATTACCTTTCTAATAAAACAAACAATTTTTTTTTTATTAAAATACAATTTGAAATGCACTGAAAATAAACTTTTATTAAAGAAAGCAAGTTACATTTTTTTTTTATTTTCTTATTTTTATTGTAATTATACATGCTTCGTATGTTTATTTTATTTTCCACAGTTTTAGTAATTCGCTGTAAATGAAGTTGACACCGTATAGACCACACCAAAAAATATCAAGCTTGCAAATATCCATCAGAAAATTATCTGCCGTTTCTGAACTCTTGTGAAAACAAGCCGTCTGTGTTAAACAGTACACAGTTGTAATCAGGTTGAATGATTAATTGCTTGAGATTAATTATGTTGTTATCTCCGCTTTTGTTACACAATTTAAAAAAATTACAGTAAATTTTAAAGACTAAATGTCTATCTAATTAGACTGAAAATTAACCCACGCTTTTTAAATACTTTTTTATATCCTCTTCATTGTCACACAAAATCACAAAAAAAAAACAGAACCTATTAAATTTACGTCACTACTCAGCCTACAACTCCGCTCTTCCCACCCTTCACAAATTATTTAATTAGTATTCCAATTATAAAACAGTGTTTTGAGATGCAAAACTTCGGCTAAAATTATGTTTTTAAGAAATACTTTTTAACACTTTACAAATTAATTAAGATTTAGTATTCCAATTATAAAAACAGTGTGTTAAGATGCGAAACTTTGGCTAAAATTATGTTTTTAAGAAATACTTTTTTTCCCTTCACAAATTAATTACAATTTAGTATTCCAATATAAAATAGTGTTTTAAGATGCGAAACTTCGGCTAAAATTATGTTTTTAAGAAATACTTTTTTTGTGTGTGCCTGTTGACACTTTCTATTCCTCCCCTATACCGCTTCATCATATATTATCACATTCTGAGGCCCTCCCATCACGTAAGAGAGTGATGTCGTTTATAGTCGACCACTTATACAGCCCACACTGTCACCTAATCCATCTAGGTACAGCTGCAGCCAGCTGTTGAACGTCCCCTTGTATCCATGTATCCACTGCATGCTTAGGGCGTGGTTGTAGTAGGACACGGCCGTGTCTTTAGGGTTCCGGACCGTTAGGATTAGTTTCGTTTTCTTCTCCGCCACCTTACAAATAGACAAAAAAAGTTGGCAACGAATACATGTATTAGGATATAGATCAATTAATGGGTTTTTTCGTTATAAAATATTTTTCCCTATATAATACCTAAGCAACACGATAATGTTTTCGCTTCTCTATTATCTGAAAGAAAAATCAACAATGATACATTTTTAGCCTATAGATTTGTAAACATCTTACTTACGATGTAACTTTTTGCTGTTAACTATGAAAATGGAACGTGTAAACGTGTAAACAAATGCTATGAAATTAAAACCATAGAGTTTTCAAAAACTCCTTACATGATATTGTTGTAGGCCGTTATAAAAACTTACCTTAAGTAATTAAGTAGTTTACTAAATCTTTTATGGCGTAACAATAGTAATAAGTGTCAGTGCTTATGGTTTAAGGCTAAGACGGGGAAGAGGTTAGGGTAACTATTTCTGCAAATATGTGATACGCTCTGCTGGTGTATATAGAAGGTCTAATTAATTTAAATAAGTAATGAATCAATTAGCTGACTAATAAAACCAAAGACAGCTGACCTGTCGGGGTAGAGAGTTGAACCAGAGGTGAGAGTTCAAGACGCGAGGGCCGGGTGTGCGAGCCATGAACTCACCAGACGCCACCTCGAGAAATCCCGCCAGTTTACTGAGGGCGGTCAAGTCTGAGTGTTGGTTTAACATCAGGTTCAAAACCTCCCAGGTCCAATGACAACCTGTGTTTATCGTTGTAGGTCAAACAGTTAAAACAACGGTTATCAATCTTCTAACATTAATTTGGTTGTGTTAACGGGGACAGGACTAATGGATGGGTATGGTTGAGGCACTATAGGGCTGGTAAGTAGGTCAATTAACAGTTCTATGGCTCATGCAGGTTTTATTGAGCCGTAGAGCTGGTTGGTGACCTACTTACCAGCCCTATAAACCTACACTACAAGGAGTAAAGGATTGTGTCGAGTCATTAAGAACCAGATACTATTTACAGATGATTTGTCAAAGTGTTTGATAATCGGAGCACAAACCTAACCCAGTTCAAATGTGAACAATGTTAGTTGAGGTTTTTATTTTATTTTATAGTCACTGTAGACTAAATAGCCTACACTATAGCATCTACATTTTAGGGGTCATCCATAAATGACGTCACACTCGTAGGGGGAGGGGGGGTCCGTAATTTTGTGACGATGTGTGATGAGGGGGAGGGGAGCGGGTTCAGATGTTGCGACGTCACATTTTTGCATTATAAAAAAGCAATGTTAGAAAACGAATTTTAGACGTTATTTCGCGTTTTAGATAACTGTTTTAATAAATTGTAATAGTTTAGACAAGATTTTGGAAAATTATCGATGTTTTAAAAAAATTCAACTGCAATTTTGAGGGGGGTTGTAGGTTGAGGTGTGACGTCATTTTAAGGGGGGGGGGTCTGACTTTTTGTGACGACATGTGACGGAGGGGAAGGGGGGGAGGTAAAAATCGTCAAAAAAAGCGTGACCCCTTATATGTGCTTAGATTTCATCCGATTGTGGCATAATTTGTGTTGTTAATTTTGAGAAATGACTGGGATGATGAATATGTGGACTAGCAACCATTGTATTTATCAAAAATTAAAATATTTTTAAACTGCAGTTTTAATAACCTTCATGGTTAGTGAAAAAAGGTGTTCACGGCGAAGAAATCTCTTCATAAAAACCCAGGGTATGACCTCAGTGTCTTACATAGAGTCGTACAAAATTTTTAACTCAAGTTATATCATGCTTAAAGTGCATTCATATCCACCACATATTATTGAAGTATTTTAGTTAAAAATACATAAATAGAAATTAAACTCACCTGTTTTGTTTCAATAGAAGCCGTACTCGCCGGTTTTGTTTAAATAGAAGCCGTACTCGCCTGTTTTGTTTAAATAGAAGCCGTACTAACCTGTTTTATTTAAATAGAAGCCGTACTCACAAGTTTTGTTTAAATAGAAGCCGTACTCACCGGTTTTTGGGTAACCGACCAGGACAACGTCATCGTCTCTGATCTCTATGTCCTTCACCTTGGTGAAATTGCCTTCACCGAAACATGGCAGCAGTTTGTCGCCCAGGGCTAGCAGTTTGAGCTCTTGGCCGTCCGCGTCAAACACGCTCTTGTTGCTGCTAAAGTCCAGCTGGTCAATGTTCATCACTTCCCGCTGTCGGACACAATCAAGGCTTCTGTGGTCACCAGCACTTAATTTATACAACTACACACTCAACCAGATAGCGCGATCTACCCGGGGAGTAATGGATCGTGGAGGGGGGGGGGGATGATAGTTTATAGAAACAAAGGGTGTACTGGATTAATTAAAGCGTGAACTGCTGGCTTGTTGTTTTTTTTTTTAAACTTCAAATGTTTGAGAAAGTTAAGAGAAATAGAGAGCGATAGAGATAAGGGGGTGGGGGGAGTAATGGAGGGGAGTACTTGGATACAACCCTGATATACAATGTTGTAACAGTTGCTTAATAGAGATCAAAATCTGGGACATCTTCACACAAATCTAGGACACAGTTTTGTAACCGAGAATGTCTTACGCTGAGGAAAATAATGTTTCAGAGAGTATTTAATTACGAGAAAAATGGCCCGTTGAGGAAGGATACACCGGGCGCTAGCTTGATAGTGCTGTCTCTTTTCTCTAAACTAAAACCAACCCACCCCCCCCCCACACACACCACCCCCACCCCACCCCACCCCACACACCACCCCCCACCCCCACCCCCCACACACACCACCCCCTCCACACACCGCCCCCCCCACACACACCACCCCCCACCCCTCCACCCCCCCCCCCCCCCCAAAAAAAAACATGCCTACCGTCCCATTCAACGAAATATAATTATATACTTTTTCCAGTGTCCGCCCCTTCCCCGAAAATTCTACCCCCGCCCCCGAAAATTTCAAGTACCCCCACCCCTCTCTGGGGAGGAAAAAGTCTAAACTAAAACCACCCCACCCCCCACACACACCACCCCCCACCCCCCACACACACCACCCCCCCACCCCCCCCCCCCACCCCCCCCCCCAAAAAAAACATGTCTACCGTCCCATTCAACGAAATATAATTATATACTTTTTCCAGTGTCCGCCCCCTCCCCGAGGGGGGGGGGGGGGCTCAGACGTTCTTACGCGGGGGGTGGGGCTTCGCCCCTACCCGAAGAATTGTATGCAAGAAACTCTTCACGCAAACCATTAAGATTAGACAACATTTCCTTTTTATTCAATGTTAACGCGAAAATCAATGACGTCATATAACTTTGAGCACTCTCTGGGTTTGAGATTATTTTCTACTCTGTGCGCTAAATGTGTCGACGTCATATTTCGTTTTTCGAATTACTGTGCATGTTTTTAAATTGCTTGTGTTTTCTCTAGAGCGTTCTTGTCAGACAGAGCGTTCTTGTCAGATAGACAGACAGCGAAACTATTAGTATTAACGAGAAAAATGGCCCGTTGAGGAAGGGTACAACGGGCGCTAGGCTGATAGTGCTGTCTCTTTTCTCTAAACTAAAACCAACCCACCCCCCCCCCCACACACCACCCCCACCCCACCCCCCCACCCCCACACACCACCCCCACACACCACCCCCACCCCCACCCCCCACCACAGACCACCCCCACCCCAACCCCTCACCCCCACACACCACCCCCACCCCCACCCCCCACCACACACCACCCCCACCCCAACCCCTCACCCCCACACACCACCCCCACCCCCCACCACCCCCACCCCCACCCCTCACCCCCACACACCACCCCCTCCAAACACCGCCCCCCCACCCCCCACCCCCCCCAAAAAAAAACATGTCTACCGTCCCATTCAACGAAATATAATTATATACTTTTTCCAGTGTCCGCCCCCTCCCAGAAAATTCTACCCCCGCCCCCGAAAATTTCAAGTACCCCCACCCCTCTCCGGGGAGGAAAAAGTCTGAAAGAAACACTGAAACCAACCCACCCCCCCACACACCACCCCCACCCCCCACCCCCCCCCCCCACCCCTCCACCCACCCCCCCCCCCCCCCAAAAAAAAAACATGTCTACCGTCCCATTGCAAGAAAACCACTTTTTAGATTAGACACATTAATTAGGCGGTAATTTTATTATAGAGTATCGATGAGGAAATTTCTTTTGAGTTGGGGAGGGGGGGGGGGGCTCAGACGTTCTTACGCGGGGGGTGGGGCTTCGCCCCTACCCGAAGAATTGTATGCAAGAAACTCTTCACGCAAACCATTTAGATTAGACAACATTTCCTTTTTTTCAATGTTTACGCGAGAATCAATGACGTCATTACATTACTGTGTGCACTCTCTGGTTTGAGATTATGTTCTACTCTACGCTAAATGTGTCGACGTCATATTTCGTTTTTCGAATTACTGTGCATGTTTTTAAATTGCTTGTGTTTTCTCTAGAGCGTTCTTGTCAGACAGAGCGTTCTTGTCAGACAGAGCGTTCTTGTCAGATAGACAGACAGCGAAACTATTAGTATTAATGTATCACCGAGACGGGAGCCATGCCAAAAAAAACAACCCTCACCCGTTCCAAACTTTCAAGCCTGCCAGTCCATGGGGCTAGTGAAGTAGAGTTCACCAATTTCTGTGACCTGGGCATATAAAGGAATAGTGTGGTCAGCAATATATTTACTTTACTTTACGCAAATCAGGTACCTATGAGGGCTGGGTGGACTCAGGGACGTTTTCCGGACTTAAACCCGGATTCGAACTCCAGACTTTTGGGTTAGCATTCGTATAAGCCGTCCAAACTTGACTCACCATAAAAATTTGAAAATCTTTCTTATCTTTCTCGCATGCGTCAACTGTTTTCATACTTGTGACGACATCAAGTCTGTTGGATGAGCTGTCTGATAAAGATGCTCGATCATCAGGACGGCCACCCCGCGACATAGCTGGCTGAGGATTACAAAAATAAAAATCAGATGATGCCCAAAAGAGCGACGCAAATTCATACCCCCCCCCCTTTTTTGTGTAGGCATTGCGTCACAAATTCCCAGTTGTATTATTATTTTATCTAACATGTAGATAATGAGTTGCTTCTCTTCAATTTGAGGACTAAGTATATTTGTATATTCCAGTCTTTTTACAAGCTTTTATTTAACTCGCTTCCTCTGTCGTCAGTCGTCAGTCTGTCGTCATTCGCCAGTCTGTCGTCAGTCTGTCTTGATCGAAACACCCGAGCGAAACTGCAAGCACTTCTAACTGACAGATAATTGGTGTGTGGGCCAAGACATGAAGACAATGCAACATGACATTATATTTGACTTAATTGGTTGCCTAATTAATTTTTAATGAATTAATTAAAATTTTGTCCAAATTAGTAGGCTGTCTCATCAAACAATTCCGCACTATTAGACAGTGTCATCACGTTCATTGGGTGCGCAATGGTTTTTAGTTATGCAACTCTATTGCATTAAAAAATTTAAAGTACGGAAACGTGGGTCTCTTCCTAAATATTAATAAAGGCATCCAATAGATACCAAAGTGACCCACGCTTTTCTTTATAGTTATTTAAATATTAGTGTATGATTTATTTTCTACTTTTTAGTGCATTAGTACATAAAAGCTTGTTATTAAAACGTTTTTTATGATTTTTTTTTCTTGTTTTTTTTTTATTTGGAAAAAATATTAATACTAATTAATCAGGAAAAATTCTGACTATACCATTAGATTTTGAGAAAACTAATAGATTTGAAACGTTTTAGAATATGCTGCTTTATAAGAATATGAAAGTTTTTGAGAAATCGTTATTAGAATGAAGTACCTATTACGATTACCAGAAATAATTCAATGAAATGTCGATGGAACTAAAAAGTATTCCAGTTCCCGTGTTCCCAAGGAAGCAGTGTGACTTGTGATTTGCTGGCTTTTTCTTACCTTTCAAGACGACTGCAGTTTATTGACTAAATTCCCCGAGCAAGTTAACTTTGATGAAGTTTGTAAACAATGAGAAGTCTAACCAGAATTGCGACTGTCAATACACGTTAATGTATGCTGTCCCTAGTTAATATTCTAATTTTTTAAAACCCAACCGACTTTTTTTTACGCAAGTGCATCCATGCGAAACGTGTTTAAGCGATTTATTATTAGGATAGGAGCCAGCGGTTCAGATCCTGCGACACTTTCGACCCGACTAAATGTTCAAATTTTAGTGAAGAGGTTGTCTTAAAGAAAACAAATTTAGAAAGCTAAAACGATATAATAAATAAAGGTTTAAAACACATGTTAATTTAGAATTGTTCAAAGTTAAATAAAGTATAAAAAAATATTTCTTGAGTTTTTAAAGTGAAAAATATATTGAGTAAAGGTAGGCTAGAAAAATAAAATATATAAATACAAAATACAAGCTAATTATCGTTATAAAGGTAATTAAGCCAAGGGTATGTGGTTATGTCAATTCAGCTAGTCAACGTAACACAAGATACAGTAAGGCTGTACTACGAACCAAATGTGAGTCCGTTAATTACCTACGTTCTAAAACTAAAACCTACATACATAACTGAAAAGATAATACGACTGTATTACGAATATTCATTCCCTTCTGACCAAACTATTAGATCGAACGTTCACAAACTAATCTGTTTTGTGAGAGGTTGAGGGGGGGGATATTGAAATAATCCCGCTAGCTTAGGAGACGCTTGTGCAATTGAATTAATGTAAAAGGTTGTAGGTTTTATTATGTAAATTTATCTAATAACACGTAGATCTGTATGGCGATTAGTCAATAACAGGAAGATTTTAATGGCGATTAGTCAGTAACAGGAAGATTTGTTCGGCGATTAATCAATATACACTCATGTCTCTCCCACACACACACACACACACACATACGCACAAACTACTATACACACAAATACATGCAAATACCTCATACACAAAACACACATGCACATAAAGCATACACCACACACTGAACATAAATATAAACAAGACACACTCACAATCCACACACACTAAGTCATACATACCCCAGTGGCGTAGCGAGGTGGGGTGTCACCCTGCGCGGCACTTAATGGTGTCACCCCCAGAGGCGTAGCGACCCTTCCCGGGAAAAATTTTTCGATTTGCACCCCCCCCCCCCTCAAACTTTCGATTTGCACCCCCCTCCTCAAACTTTCGATTCGCACCCCCCCCCCCCCTCAGACTTTCGATTTGCACACCCCCCCCCCCCCCCCCCGTCAAACTTTCGATTTGCACCCCCCTTCAAACTTTCGATTTTGCACCCCCCACCCTCACATTTTTCTCTATATATTTTGCTATTTTTTTGCCTTGGTGTCACCCCTCCTCTAAATGGTGTCACTCGGTGCGGTCCGCACTCCCCACCCCCCCCCCCTCCGCTACGCATACCCCACGCACTTACATACGCAACCAAGCAAAGACGCGCCTATATAAATCAATAAAATATACTGATTTTAGTCGTAGAGATTACTGATAAATGTAATGTTAAATGTAGGATCCTAAAGCTAAAATTTGGGAACCTCTAAACTCGGTCAAAGTATACATGTCAATATGTATCTAAATAAAAACCCAACCTTCATATTGTATGGACGAGGAAGCAACAATACATATCTGCTTATGGGTACATTTTATATCGACCATCAATTAACCTAATTTTTGCTTAATGGATGTGACGATAAGCTTATTTGAAATACTAAGGCTATGTATAATTACGTCATGGTAATTTGTGTTGGGTTTAGACAGCAAGTCATTATTTAACAGTGCTATTTATCAATGTGTCTGTCTTTAGAATGATGTTTCTATATGGACGTCTTTCGTGTAATTTAATCTGTTTGGTCGTGTATAAGGTTGTTTATCCACATTGCTATATGTAAGGATTTATCCTTGATTTGTTTAAATATAAAGATACGAGCCGGCCCGCGGCATAACATACGCCGCTATTTAGTTGTTGTTTTTTCTACTTTTCAGTAATTCATAATTTGTGAATTCGACAGTACCAACGCTGACACTGAAAATATTTCTTTAAAACACTATAAATAGCTCCCAGAAGTCTCCCAGAAGAGAATTATATATATAGATAAGATTGTCTAGGATAAAGGAAAGTGTGTGAATATGTTAATTTCAAACAAGAAGACTTCGTACCCTATAATCATTCCGAATCCATCTCACTATTGATATTATATCCATATCGGTATATATGTTCATATACAATATCCATATTTATATCCATACCCATACCCATATCCTTACTGATACCCCTAATATACCAAACTATTTGGGTATGTGAGAAAGAGAGAGATAGAAAGACAAGAGTGATATAGAGGCAGAGATGCAGAGGGACTGAAAGACAGCTACAGACAGAGAGACAGAGGGATAGAGCGACAGAGAGATAGAGGGATATAGGGATAAAGAGACAGAAAGATAGTAAGATAGAGAGACGGAAAGAAGAAATATATAGACAGAGGTAGAAAACAGACAGGGACAGAGACAGAGACACAGAGATACAAACACACAGAGACAAACACATACACAACAGGCAGACAGACAAAACTAACAATAAGCTTTTAAGTTTAATGTAAATACGAAAAAAAAGTATCTCCATATACGCAGTGGCGTAGCGAGGTCGGGTGTCACCCTGTGCGGCACTTAATGGTGTCACCCCCCCCAGAGGGGTAGCGACCCTTCCCGGGGACAAACTTTCAAATTTTCGATTTACACCCCCCCCCCCTTCCTTCAAACTTTCGATTTGCACCTCCCCCCTCAAACTTTCGATTTGCACCCCCCCCCCCCCTCAAGTCCGCACCTCCCGCCCCCCCCCCCTCGCTACGCCCCTGCATATACGCCAAATACTATGAAGAAACGATTTTTGGACCTATGTTCGTAAAGGAAAGTAACTAACTATACCTTAAAGGTTACTATTACATTTAGCTTATAGTCTCCCTTTACTTCTATGGCTAAATCATACATATAGCTATTTGTATCAATCTATCATGATTTATTTATTTTAGTTGTTTCGCTACATTTTCAAAGTTTACCTGTAAATTTTACCTTGACTAAAGGGAACCTTGAACTTCAACTGGTGAAGTTAGGAGAACTAGCCCTAGACCAAGTTGTATGGAAAAATCTTGCTGGTAGGCCTACAGTGTGTGTAAGCACAAACCAAATTGTACTTTATTACCCATCTTCATATATGCTAAAATAGTAAGAACATAAAAAGTTATTACATTTATTACACTATAAACAATTTTTTAACTTTTTTTTTAATTATCCGTGCATTAACTTGCTGAAGTTTTTAAACTATCATTCACATCTTTCGCCCCCCCCCCCCCCCGCTCCACCCCCTCCCCATCCCAAATACATGATACAAATGGTTAAATTTGAGATATTACGAATAAAGCTGCACATGCCTATTTAGGCGTAATGTAATTTAAATACTATATAGCCTAAAAATACAATCTACTGTCATGCAGCTATAAAAAGTTTTCCTATAAAACACTGTATTATATAACAGTGCAGTATATTGATATATAGAGTTTTTCCGATGTTATGTATTAGTCGATGAACAGGCTGTTCTATATATAGGAATGACAAAGTTTTCTTAGAGAAATTCTATAACTGCCTGGAATTTCGCTAACCATCTGCCATTTAGCTCCACAAACGTAAAGTTTGTGTTTGGAAATTATACCAGTTTTCTTATACATTTTCCTTTTAACAAGTCAGAGTGAAAATTTACGAACATTCATTTATAATTTTTACAACGCCTTCTTCTCAATAACTTCGTTATTTGTTTTAACCAATCAACACAAAAAACTACATGGAGTCCGAATTCCGAAGGGCTTTTAAAAATTGTAAGTAAAAACAAAAGTGCTTTGTTTTACGAACTTATCACTGAGAACTTATCAGCTATAAAACGTTTTTTTTTAAACCTTATTGATGTGTTCTGAATCCAGCTACTTTATTTTATGTGTGTTGTGTTTTAAATTAGTATACCTCAATGTAATTAAGTTTTGTAGTTTTGTTTAAACTAATTTTTTCATGTTTTTTTTAAGCCAAAACTGAAGAAGAAATAAGAGAAGTTAACCTAACGTGGGAAGATACGCTCGCGCAGTGCAAGAAACAGAACGATCATGAAAAATACGATTATTTCACAAATTTTAGCAAGGAAAAACTGGTACAACATATCAAAGGTGACTTAAAAGATGACGATAACATGGTTGATAATCTTTATAATTTAATCATTAGGATGGCGAACCTAACTACATATATAGAGCATCAGTTTGTTGACGAAAATGAAAAAGATGAACAGGAAAAACATAAAAGAGTTTGCGGCACTGGATTTATTCAAAGAATTAGACACAAGAAAGGAGAAATATGCCAATGTAAATCTTGCGAGAACCCTGAAAACGAAAAGGCGAAAAAATGGGCTATTTTTACAGTGACAAGCGTGCATCACGTGGTACAACGACTCCAGAATAACATGGGGAGTTCAGAGGTCAGACTATTTTACGATACGACAGACAGTCTTACTTGGAAAACCTTGGATATTCTCAAGGTTCAAGATACCGACAAAGATGGAGAATATGACTGGTGCGCCATTCAATGCGTGACACATGACAAACAAATAATAAAGGAACTACAGAAAAACCTTTCAGAGTATGAGACTCTGCAGAAGGAGATCTACAAGGAAGTCAAAGAAACAACCCGGGAGGATCTCCAACTTGTCGTCATCACCGGACACCCTCACGGCATGCCCAAGCAGGTCAGCATCGGAGAAAAGAAAGGGAAGGAGGTTCTCAAGGACGTCCGCGAGAGACAAGAGTGGTGCCGGTACGGCTACGACACGGCAACGTGCCCGGGGAACAGCGGCTCGCCTGTCTACATTGTGGGTCAGCCGCTGTGTGGCTTCGGCTACTGGTTCGGCCACACCCACAACCACAGCACGGGATACGATGCTGAGAAAAACGAAAAATTTAATTTCAGCTCCATCGGCACGATCCAGCTGCCCTAGGTCGTGGTGCGTGGTTAACACATCAACAAGGTTTTATCTTAGACTAGCACTCTTGTTATGTTTACTTAATGTAGCATTTGTTTTTAGATGTGTCTTCACTTCCTTTACTTCTCTGCCCTAGTAAGGGGGTTTCACTGTTTGCAATTTCGTAAATTACAAGTAGTCTACTTCTATTTTCTTTGTAATTCTCTTTAGATTTTGAAATAATTGTATGGAAATAATTGTATGGAAATTTTGTTTCCTAAAAACTCGCTGATGGGTTGGTGTTGTTGTTTTAGATTTTGCTGACGATGTGTAACGATCAGGAATGGGGTAGTTCAGTAAACATGATGTTAAAATTATTACATTTTAAAAAGCTTTTTTTTTTCTAATAAAGTAGATTAGTGCAGGTATTTCACTTTTTAAATATATATATTTTTTTTTTTTGGAAATTATAAAAAAATAAATAACTAACCTTAAGGTTTTTGGAAATAATTGCTTTAATTTAAAAAAACACCAAAGAATTGTAATTTTGACGGACCAGGAGGATAGTTGTACTGCTAATCGTTTTATGGAATGATGGAGTGGGTGATTTAACTGGAATTCATTCAAGCGTAAGAACACATTGAATAATATCAAATTGTAATTGTAGCACATTTGTATACGTTCACTTTTAGTGTGTAAGTATAACTCAGAATGTGCTTTCTATTTAACAATATGATTATGTTGAAAAATGTTTCTGTAAAAAAATATAACCAGAGGCTTAGTAAATTACAAAATCAAAGTAAGTGTTTCAAGTCTGACGCAAATTGTTAACAGCTGTCAATTTAACGGAACGACCAGCCTTATAAAATAGAAGAAGAGATAAAAAGCCGCTCTGTCGTTAGTCGTCGTAGGATTTTTTTTTCTTGTTTTCTATATATATATATATATATATATATATATATATATATATATATATATATATATATATATATATATATATATATATATATACGAGAAAAATGGCCCGTTGAGGAAGGATACACCGGGCGCTAGGTTGATAGTGCTGTCTCTTTTCTCTAAACAAAAACCACCCCCCCCCCCACACACACCACCCCCACCCCCACCCACACCCCCACCCACACCACCCCAACCCCCCACCCCCCCACACACCACCCCCCCCCCACACACCACCCCCCCCACCCCCACCCCTACACACACCACCCCACACACACACCACCCCCCCACCCCCACCCCCCCCCCCCAAAAAAAACATGTCTACCGTCCCATTCAACGAAATATAATTATATACTTTTTCCAGTGTCCGCCCCCTCCCCGAAAATTCTACACCCGCCCCCGAAAATTTCAAGTACCCTCACCCCTCTCCGGGGAGGAAAAAGTCTAAATTAAAACCACCCCCCACTCACCCCCACCCCCCCCCCACACACACACCACCCCCCCCACCCCCCACCCCCCCCCCCCCCCAAAAAAAAGCATGTCTACCGTCCCATTCAACAAAATATAATTATATACTTTTTCCAGTGTCCGCCCCCTCCCCGAAAATTCTACCCCCCGCCCCCGAAAATTTCAAGTACCCCCCACCCCTCTCCGGGGAGGAAAAAGTCTAAATTAAACCCCCCCCCCCCCACTCACCCCCCATCCCCCCCCCACACCCCCCCCCCCTCCCCCCACCCCCCACCCACAACCCCCCCCCCTAAAAAAACATGTCTACCGTCCCATTCAACGAAATATAATTATATACTTTTTCCAGTGTCCGCCCCTCCCCGAAAATTCTACCCCCGCTCCCGAAAATTTCAAGTACCCCCACCCCTCTCCGGGGAGGAAAAAGTCTAAATTAAAACCACCCCCCCACTCAACCCCCCCCCACCCCCACCCCCCTCAGACGTTCTTACGCGGGGGTGGGGCTTCGCCCCTACCCGAAGAATTGTATGCAAGAAACTCTTCACGCAAACCATTTAGATTAGACAACATTTCCTTTTTTTCAATGTTTCAATGACGTCATTACATTACTGTGTGCACTCTCTGGTTTGAGATTATGTTCTACTCTACGCTAAATGTGTCGACGTCATATTTCGTTTTTCGAATTACTGTGCAGGTTTTTAAATTCCTTGTGTTTTCTCTAGAGCGTTCTTGTCAGACAGATAGATAGATAGAGAGACAGCGAAACTATTATTATAGATATATATATATATATATATATATATATATATATATATTTGTATTTGTAATCGGTAAATGAATTAGTGCAATTATATATGACATCATATATTGGCACAACTATTTGTTAATGTTGCTTGTTTTGATATTATATCTTATAAACGCATTTTTTACTATCACTTTAATAAAATTATAAAAACTAATAAAACTAATGTGTGTATTATTAACTTTAAGTTGTAATGTGGTTAGGAATATATATATATATATATATATATATATATATATATATATATATAGTATGTTTATACTATTATATATATATATATATATATATATATATATATATATATATATATATATATATATATATATATATATATATATATATATATATATATATATATATATATATATATATGAAGGGCTCAGTGGAAAAAGTACTTAAGTTACATTTTTTCAAAAATGAGTTAAGACCGGTATATTATTTGACTACCTCCCCTTAACCATCCCTGTAAATTTGGGCCATGGAAAAAGTACCGAAGTAGCTTAATTTGAATACTCTGCATCAGCTGTTTTGTTATTTCAATAACAATTTAAAAACTTTGCACTCATTTTTCTCAAAACTCTCAAAATACACTTAAGTACTTTTTCCACTGAGCCCTTCATATATATATACTGATTATTCTTTTTGTGTGACCCCCATTCCACAACAAACTTTGATCAGCCTCACGTATCCATGCCATCCGTAAGATTAACCTCTTGTCTCAATAGTAATGACAGATAACCAAGACCAAATCATTATCCAAACCACAAGCAGAAACCTAACTCTTATTTTGAGACATTCTAGGCGAGAGTGCCAACACAAACACATTGTACACTAGTTCTATCTTTGTCAGGGCTGGTCAATAACGTTCTGGTCCATTGGATTCTTTACCTGCAATGTATTGAGGGAAGAAAGGTGGGGGGGGGGTCCTTCGTTTATATGACGCTATACATTTGCGAATTCGAAATCATGAATAAAATCAATAAGCGGCAACAACGGTTACCGCAACAGTAACCCACCTGCTAATTAAAATAGAGCTGACGTATCCAAGCCTAATTATTAATTAAACACGAGTTTTCTGAGAATTCCCAGTCCAGCGTCATTTCTAAGAATTTTCGACACTTGGTTTTGTGGAAACAGCTGACGTCATTAGGTTCAGTTTAAATTGGTTTTTAAACGTTGGGGAAAATCAATACGAATCAAGAAGGCGGGTACATAGGCATAAAGGCTTTTATTGCTTTATATTAAATGACTGGATTATACCTTAGAAAAGTAAGTCGAAGAATGGAGAAGTATAAAACACACTTAAATTAGATTTTTACGTAACGGATAACTGTATGAGTAGACCCTTGCAGATGAGGCTCGATGGTTTAGGACAGCAACCCATCTAGGAGAGACAACTCGATAGCTGGGGACAGCAACCCATGTACGAAAGAAAACATAAATAAACAACTGTAGTTTGTTCTTGGTTGGACAAGGGCTATAGTATCAAATCCAGAAAGAAAAAAAGGCTGATAATCAGAGTCAAGGGCCTTTAAGACGGATAACAAGTTGACACGTATACTTAATTGTGTTGGAGGATATCCGTCTAAAACGACATTTAAGAGCAAAGATGAAGAGGTAATAGTAGATCACACATTACTTAAATTTAATTTTTAAATAATGCCAAGCTACCTCCTTAGGGACGACGTGGCCTAACGGTAGAGAGCTAGACTGCTGACCCGAAAGTCTCGAGTTCGAATCCGGGTCAAAGCATTGGAAACAAAAGGGGCTGGGTCAGTGAATCAGTTGAACTCAGCCCCGCTCAAAAACACACACACATTGATTTGTATAGTTGCTAGTTCTTTTTATTTAAGTTAGTCAGCGAAGGCTCCAGCTAATGTAAAACACCAGATAGTTCTAATGAATATAAAGCTGACGTCTATACAGATACATTTTAAATTACAACGAGCCGGCCCGCGGCATAACAAACGCCGCTATTTAGTTGTTTCTAATTTTCAATAATTCATAATTTGTGAATTCGACAGTACCAACGCTGACACTGAAAATATTTCTTTAAAACACTATAAGTAGCTCGTTAAGGACCATAACCCCCCCCCCCTTCCTTCCCTCCCCCCCTCCTCCCCCCCCCCCCCCCTCCTACGTTTAAAATCGTTGGCTCTGCTTGTAAACATTTAGAGTGAACACAGCTCACTAAAACCATGCAGGGGTGGGGAGGTAGGAACAGCGTTTGCAGCTTGTTTTCTAACGGCTCGAAGAAGAGAATTATATATATAGATAGATCGGGCTCTGGGAATTTCCACACCACGCTCTATTTCTGAGAAAATCCCCGCCTACGTCATCGACGCTCGGCAATACAGCTGTTATGTTAAAAAAATGCAGATATCCTTGCATTTGTTGTGTCTATAGGTTTTGTATTGATTTCAATAGTTATATAAAGTATAATTTATTGCAGAATATAGGTAAATACGAATCAATGTTAAATGGCTGTATCCTATCTAAGGGAAGGTGGCAGTGGCGTAGGCAGGGGGGGTTAGGGGGGGTCATAACCCCCCCATAGACCCCTCGGTATATATAAAAAGTATGAGGGGGGGTGCAAATCGAAAGTTTGAGGGGGGGGGTGCAAATCGAAAGTTTGAGGGGGGGGGTGCAAATCGAAAGTTTGAGGGGGGGGGTGCAAATCGAAAGTTTGAGGGGGGGGTGCAAATCGAAAGTTTGAGGGGGGGGGGTGCAAATCGAAAGTTTGAGGGGGGGGGGTGCAAATCGAAAGTTTGTCCCCGGGTAAAAATTGGAACCCCCCCCCCATTGAGACGATCCTGGCTACGCCACTGGAAGGTGGTATCCCATTTAGGAGAAGTAAATGAATAGCTTAGGGCTTAGACCCTTCTAGGGTGTGGGTTTGTTTATTTGTCCAACTCATTTCATCGTTGACCT